AGATAAAACTCCTTGAAGAAGGAGAGGGGCAAATGTTCAAGATGGTCATAATAAGGAGGCAAGCGCTCTAGAAGAGTACCACGACATAACACTTCGTAAGACCTCATGTGAGAGGCTCAATTACCTGAAAATAATGAGATAAAGAGATATCACTAAGTTATGTCTTTATTAGGTAATAATGGAATCGACGTAGAGTGATCATCGATGATATTGTTAACATAATGTAGCACTCAATATTATTAATATTGACGAGGATCTTGAGCTAAAATCTGTCATGAAATTTTGACCGATAAATAATTGGCCAAATGAAAAATACGCAATGAAAATTGACTTCACTTGAAAAAATGTGAAGTTAGGCGAATAGTCCCAACACCTGAAAGTATAAAGCCAATGGAGGTATAAATGTGTTCTTGTGCAAAAGGTTCAAGTCGATAGACATAAAGACGACTTGTGACACAAGAAAATTAGTAAATATCTCACATTGATTATATGGAGACATGTGTCTCTTATGGTGGATATAATCATTTCAGGTTTTAATCTGGCAATACATGAAAACTTGATATGCGTATAATGAAAATCATTGAAGGATTAAAATTGTTCTGAATTATATTAATGTTTCCAAGAAATTTATTAAATAAAGCTTCAAAAATTCTTATACGGATTGAAACAATCAGGGCGCATGTGGTATAAACGCCTGTGTGAGTACCTATTGAAAGAAGGGTACAAGAATGATTCAATTTGTCCTTGTATCTTTATAAAAAGATCTGGATTTGAATTTGTTATAATCTCTGTGTATGTTGATGATTCAAATATCATTACAACTCCCAGACAACTTCATAAAGCAGTAGACTGTTTAAAGAAAGAATTTGAAATAAAAGATCTTGGAAAGACTTTTTGTCTTGGTCTACAAATTGAGTATATGAAAGATAAATTTTTTATTAATCAATCAGCATATACTAAAAAGATTTTAAAGAGCTTCTATGTGGATAAAGCACATCCATTAAGTACCCCAATGGTTGTAAGATTACTCGATATAAATAAAGATCCACTCCGACCTCATGAAAATAATGAAGAGCTTCTTGGTCCTAAAGTACTCATATCTTAATGCAATTGGTGCGCTAATATATCTTGCTAACACTACAAGGCCTGACATAACTTTTTCAGTTAATGTCTTAGCAAGATATAACTCCGCTCAAGGAAACATTGGAATGAAATCAAGCACATATTGCGTTATCTAAGGGGGATTACCGATGTGGGCTTATTTTATGGCAATAATTGCAATACCGATCTTGTTGGTTATGCTGATGTGGGGTATTTATCTAACACACACACAAGGCTTGATCTCAAACATGCTATGTGTTTACATGTGGAGGCACTGTCATATCTTGGTGATCGACTAAGCAATCAATCATGGCCACTTATTCTAATCATGCTGAGATAATTGCTATTCATGAAGCAAGTCGAGAATGTATTTGGTTGAGGTCTATAACATTTCACCAAAGTTATTTTTCACACATGATCTTCAAAAGAATGGCGATATCAATGTGCAACAGATTCGTTCAAGTGATAATATGGTTGATTTGTTCATCAAATCTCTACCGACGTCAACTTTCAAGAAACTAGTGTACAAGATTGGGATGTGAATGATCAAGGATGTGAATTGATGCTCTCATCAGGGGGGAATTAATACGCGTTGTACTCTTTTTCCCTTACAAGGTTTTGTCCTACTGGGTTTTTCCTTGCAAGGTTTTTAACGAGGCAACCAAAAAGCTATTTTTAAATATGTGTACTCTTTTTCCTTCACTAGGATTTTTTCCCATAGGGTTTTTTCCTAGTAAGGTTTTAACGAGGCACATTATCTATGGACATCCAAGGGGGAGCGTTATGATAAATATCACATTATGGTGGATGTCTACTCTTCTTCCATGATCTTGATCTCAAATGCTTAATGACATATTCAATAACATATTTTGTATGTTCAATGACATATTCCATGACATATTTTCTTCACTTTTTATGCCTATATAAAGGCCTTGTAATAGATGGAAAAATACACACAATTGAAGAAGAAAATCTCTTCCTTCTCTCTATCTCTATTTTTTGTTCATGTTTTACTAAATTGCTTTTATTTCTTGTTTATGTTACTAAATTACTTTTATTTCATAACATGTACTTTGTTTTCTATTCATTAGTATAAAATAGTCAGTATTAAAAAAAACCCTTCTAAACTCATATTTATCTTTTTATTATTTAAAAAGTACAACAAATCACAAATTTCATATTTTACTCATACGAGTTAGTAAAAAAATTAAATTCCTAATTGAAAATTTTATTAATTATTTTAAGTTAAGATATTATTTATTTAAAAGATAATCAAGATACCGATAATTCTTTCTGATACTAGTTACTAATTTTTAAATATTTATTAATACTTTTATTCTAAAAAAACATAGTTTAAATACCTGATCTAAATAGTACTAGTATATAGCACTTCCTATATACATGCATTTATCACACACTAATGAGTTAGAAAAAAATTAAATTGTTATTGATTAATTAAATATTATTTATTTGGAAGATACATACTACTTTTAAGATATTATTCATTAATTTATAATTATTTAATATATTTTGATAAGTTAATATGAACAAAAATTTATTTAATTATGTAATTACACTTATTCAATCAAACATGATAGTAAAAATTATACTATAATTATATTTTAACAAACAAGTCATCATAATATTATACTATTTGGAAAGCCACCGGGTAATTGGAATTGGTGTAATTACACAACCTAGTAATTATACAGTTGTGTAATTACGACGACCTGTTTGTTTGTCATTATATAATTACACTGTAATTACAAGTTTACTGTTTGATTGCACAAGTGTAATTACACAGTTAGATTAAATTTTAAATGAAGTAATTATCAAAACTTAAAAGTTAATATAATAAATATATGCGTATAAATTGTAATAAGTATAAATGATATTATATTTGGTATTTAAGATGTATATTTTTTCGTGAATATATGTTAATTAGTACTCATATATTTATAACTAAAATTGTAAAAATAATTTATATATATTTTTTAAATTAATAATATTTAGTTTAGATACTTACAAAAACTAAAAAATATCGTTTTGTAAGAACATCATTCATGTTTGATAAAATAAATTAATATTTATAAATATAATGTCATAACATTATTCAAATGTTTGACAAAACTAATCTATCAATTCTAACTAAAAAATGAACAACGTGCAATGTGAGTCAATACTACTAAAACAAGTAAATTGGAACCATGTATATAACACAATTTCAAAATTAAAAAAAATAGTTTAACATATGTCGAATTCCAACATAATAATAGTAAGTTCCACTACAACTTAAGATTAAAAAACATAATAAGTATATAACCACATTCAACAACGAAATTCAACTTTAATTGGATCACTCATTATATACCAGATTTGTTAATGACTCATTATTTCTAATATTAGGAGGTGTAGTTTCAAAAAATAGAATGATAAAATAAATAAAAAATAAAATATAAGCAATTACCTGGAATCATAAGAAATAAAGGTAGAGAAATAAAAGATAAATAATGTACAAAAAATATATATATATATTAAAATTTCAAAAGAAATTTAAAAGTAAAATAAAATTAAAAAATTAAACTAATAGAAATAAAATGTTATAAAAAATAAATTAAAATAAAAACAAAAATAAAAAGGAAAGAAACTAAAAACAACCTTGTAATTACACAGTGTAGTTATCACCAATTCTCACCTCCCCTGAGAATTGGAGAGTGTAATTACACCCCTCCAATTACACCTAATTCCATGCTGATCAAGTAATTACTTGATCAAACAAACATATCAAACTGTGTAATTATATTTAATTATACCCAAATTTATTTTCAAGGTGGCTTCCCAAACATGCTCTAAAATTAATGGAATATGTAATTACTATCCTAATAATTACATAATTAAGTAAGTATACATGCTTTTCAAACATACCCTAATAAATGAAAAAAAAGAAGAAGATTTCTTCTATATGTTAGCAAAGGAAAAGGGCCCCAAAAATACTTAAAAAGTAAGCAGCAACAGCAGCATGTTGTGTGGCCGCAGGTGACCGTGTAATTTGCGCGTATCTGTCTACCCCTTTCTCTCTCCTACCTATTTCTAGTCTCTTCTTCCTTTTTTCTTCACCCTGCACAAAATACCCCTAACCCCCTCTTGACTCCCAGTTTTGACAAATCTAATTAATTTTTTGACACCCATTTTTGATCCTAGGATTTTTCAGCAAGTTTTGTTTCCTCAAAGTCACAACCTGGCATACTATTTCTTGGACAGGTACAAATTTAATTGATACTACCTATGGATTTTATTTCTCAATTCTGTCAAGATTCCAGCCCTTTTCAAGATTTCTTAGGTTGTAAAAACCCTTTTTATTGTTTGTTCAGAATCTTCAGACTGCATACCAATTTAGAGCTGTAAGCAACTAAAAATGTAGGAGTAGTAGTTATAAAGGTTATGAGTTTTACTTTATTTATTTGAATCAGGTTCTGGAATTTTAATGGGGTTTTTTTTTTCTTGTTGTTAATGTATGAGCAGGGGAATTATTTTGGTGAAGCTTCTGGATAGAAGCAGCAGATATTAACACTCTGGCATATACTTCAGTGAAGTCCTCTCCCCCTTTTGAATGGGATAGGGTTGAGGCTAGAAGAAGAACACTTGTTGGAATTTCACTTGTTAATTATCTTTCTTCTTCTCCAAATTGGTCTCTTTCATGGCTTTGGTGTTTGCCTATTGATTATGGCTAATTTGCCTTTCACACTCTGAGCTCTGACTTGTTTCAAGATTCCATCTTTTGAATTGAAAATTTTCAAAGATCAAAACTTTTTTTTTTTGTGGGGGTAACAAAGATTAGTAAGATTAGAAGAGCTAACAAATTGGAACAAAGAAATGGCAATTTGCAACTGCTTCCGTGGTCCAGTAAGGAGAAACAGGAAAGATAAGGTGGGTACCAATTTTTTCTTTTCTTTTAGTATGCATGTTAAAGTTAACATTTTTTCTCATTTTTATGTTTTGTTCATTTTAGGGAGATAAGAGAGTTCCAAAAACTACTGATGTGACTTCACCAGTTGAAAGTCCTGTGAAATCTACTGCTAAAACTGATGACTCCAAATCATCTTCTTTTCTTGTTCCTTTACCTTTTGGGAGTTCTAGGACCAATGTCAAGGTAATGAATCATGAAAGTCCTGTTAAGGGAGATACAGAAGAGGTGGCGTATGAAGGGGAAGATGAGCATGACGAGAGCTTGTCGATGAAGAGGGACAACTCTGATTTTGATCTTCAAGCACGCGTTCATAACTCAAATGACGAGTATGATCAATCATTCAGCAAAGAGATTAATCTTAATTGCTCATTTGAATGTGAAACGAATGACCGGTATCATAAGAAATCTGAGAAAGATGAAGAGGTTGTGGAGATAATGAAAAGTGGACACATTAGTGACCCGGGGTTTGATAAAGTAGAATCTTGGGCTTCTCCAAGGCTTCAGCGCTCCTGCTCCGATTTAGCAATTAGGGATATGTTCACTAAAATGAGTGACCAGCTATCACTCTCGAAATCCCAATCTTTTGATGAGATGCAGAGATTAGCTGAGAAGATGACTTTGGGAAGTCCAGCATCCGTGTTGACACATCGCAGCGCTGACAAAGTTATGTTGAAGAAGCATTCTTCAAGCCAACTCCTACCATCAAGAAGTCGAAATTTATGGTGGAAATTATTTCTATGGAGCCATAGAAATGTACAAGGAACAGGTGGTATCAAACAACACCCAATCCTTGCTAAGATGGCTCTAAACCAACAGGGCGGGTACTCCTCGGACACACTAGAACTAGGGAAAGGCATGGAATTGAGCAACTTGGGGTCTCCTGGTTCATTCACTGCAGAATCCTTGAACAAAGGGCGCTACGACAAGGGCAAGGATGTCTTAGTTGACTTCCAAGGAGCAAGTGGTTTTTGGCCGCAGAATCAGTGGGTTGCTTTCCCTGAAGAATCCTCTAGATTTATGAGAATTAGTGAATGGGTGAGCGAGCTTCCTGTTCATCCACCATGCTTAATTGATGAACATGATCATGTTGAAGACGACATGGATCTCCCACCTTCTCTTGATGCTGGTAAATCACCAGCAAGAAACTCATCTCTCATCAGCCCACACCCAAATACAAATGTCTCAGAAGAGGTTGCACATGCTAATACTGTCATCCGGTCTCTCAACCTGTCTTCAACGGTTGCTCACATTGCCGGTGCTGGTCTGAAAGTTATCCCTGCAATGTCACACTTATCTAGCCTTCGATCTGTCAATTTATCAGGCAACTTCATAGGTATGTAATCAAAGGATAATTCGTACTAAACTAACTTAAGGCTAAAGAAAATGGTCATAGAAAGCTAACATAATATATGTTTCTTGCGGCAATGCAGTTCAAATAACTCCAGGATCACTACCAAGGGGTCTGCACGTTCTCAACTTATCAAAAAACAAGATCCACACAATCGGAGGACTCAGGGAATTGACACGCCTGCGCATGCTTGACCTAAGTTACAACAGAATCTCTCGAATTGGACAAGGTATGTCGCTTCCTTAGACCTTCCACCGAGGATAAACTGTCTTGTTAGGGGACTGACAATATAACCCAGTTTTACATCCTTAAAAGACCTCCTGAAAAATGTGACTTTGGCTTCAAATTGCATCAGGTTTGTCGAATTGTACGCCCATCAAAGAACTCTACTTGGCTGGTAACAAAATAAGTGATATAGAAGGGCTGCACAGACTTCTGAAGCTGACTGTTCTAGACTTGAGCTTCAATAAAATAACAACTACTAAAGCACTTGGTCAGCTTGTGGCAAACTATAACTCTCTGCTGGCTCTAAATCTATTGGGCAATCCAATCCAGAGCAATATAAGTGACGATCAACTGCGGAAGACAGTTTGCAGTTTGCTTCCAAAGCTAGCTTTCTTGAACAAACAGCCAATTAATGCACAGAAAGCCCGAGAGGTAGGAACAGAAGCAGTTGCAAAAGCAGCATTGGGCAGTAGCAGTCGGGGCACTCATAGAAGAGCAACCAGGAAAGTTGGAACTGGAGCTTCTTCATCTGCTAGCGTGCATAGGAGCAGCGCCAGTGTTGCTCAAAAGAGCAGGCATAGGCTAAGAAGCCGAACTCAACATCAGTCTTCCAAAGCCAAGTGATCTGCTCTAGGCATCATCGCCTTCCTAAATTGTTTCATACTCGTGGACAGTGCAATCCGAAAAACCATGGTTCATATTCATGGACAATGCAATTCCAGAAAGCATGGTGTTCAGTGTGTTTCAATTTTGTTTATTATTTTTATTTTGTTCTTCAAAAGAGGAGTGATTAAGATATTCATGTTAAATTGTGGAGGTTGTTCCTCAATTTCCATTGTGTTATGGAAGTCTGCTTGAAAGCCAGGTACTTGTGGCTTCAGGTGCTTGTCTTTCTATAATTGTTGAATTAACATGTTTTTCCACATTGATTGCACCTTTATAAATGTACTTCGCTTCTTGTTCTGTTTGCTAATGAGTTGTGTTAATCTTTTCGGTTTTCATGAAGTACAACTTTGGATAACTAACCTAATTTAGTGGAGTTTCACTAGGTAGGGAGTAAGGTTTGCGTACACATTATTTTTGCCTGGCCTCACTTGTTGTTATTGTTGCTCCCTAGGGATCGATTGTTTGTGGTTGGATAGAACATAAAGAAAGGTAATTGAAATGTTAAGTTAAAACATTTTGACTAATTCATACCGATTTTATGTTAATCATCCGCTACGAGAATCAATAGTTTGATTAAAATTTGTATATACATCGTGTAAGGTTCATTAATCAAAAAAGAATTTCCTAAAGCTCAAACTTTATACCTCTGGTTAAGTATAGATGATCTCATCGAGGAGAGAAGAATCATTTTGACTTAAAGAGGAGAGACAATCCAAAAATGTATTGTGCTTTCGGTGGAAGGAAAAAATTCCTTGATCATACGTCAAACTCAAGGCTTTGGAGAGATTCTTTTGAGCCACACAAGCATGGTTCTTGTTGTCTTAACGACTTGATGTTCCAGCTTTCAACTATAACCACTGACACGTATTTGCTTTGGAGAGTTGAATAATATTCTCAGAGCAAAGACAACCCACGATTGAATAGGGCCAAGAGCATCACGAAACTAATTAATCATGCTTTATAGATGTATCTTCCACACCTTTTTTTTTTAAAAAAAATAAAATTTAATGATGGTATTCAGGCTAGTTTGTGTGTAGGAATATTTTATCGGGTACATACTATCTTCCGTCAGCATAAAATAACAGGTAACTCTGGCCACCAACGCTAAGAAAAATGAGAAGAAATCTCCTAACGCTTTGTCGTTGCGATGATCTGAACCCCTAGTCTTCAAAGTTTTCAAACATTATTGATCATTGTGTTGGGAATAAACCCCGTAAAAATAATATTCACAGTATTAGTGATAAACGCGGACCACTAAGTTATGGTTAAATCAACAAGAGTAAAGATGCAGCAATAATGACACCAAGATTTTACGTGGAAACCCTTCTGAATAAGAGAAAAATCACGGCTAAGAAGAGCAACTGATATCACTATAGCGAGGAATTTTATACTGTGTAGTAACGATTACAAAATACTCCTAAGACCACTACACCCTCAAAAGAAAAAATACTCTTTTGCTTTTTCCACCTCACTACAATATCTCTCACACTCTATTTTTCTTCACAAACTATTTTTTTATATTCTATGAAATACCTTGCTCTCTCTCTTTTTTCTCTCTTTGTTGGTGTGTAGAAATGAGAGTTAAAGCTCTCTTTTTATAGCCAAAACTTCACTCTCTAAGGCCTACAATATTTGACAATTTGCACACCCTTTTCACAATTTCAACAAGGTTGGCTACCAAATCATACAAATTCAACAAGGTTGGCTACCAAACCAAGTCAATAAAATTGGCTACCAAATCATACCAATTCAACAAGGTTGGCTACCAAACCAAGTCAACAAAATTGGCTACCAAATCATTTGAATGAGATGGACACCATATCAATCTCCCCATCCAGTCTCATTCATCTAGAGGAGGTAGCACTGTCTTCTAGTCTGAGTGCATGCCGACAAGTTCTTTGCATAGCTCGAACTTGTCTCTTGGTATCACCTTGGTCAACATATCAACAGGATTTTCACTTGTATGAATCTTTTTGACCTGAAGTGATTCGTTCTCCACTTGCTCACGAATCCAATGATATCTAACGTCGATGTGTTTTGTTCTCGCATGGTACATGAAGTTTTTGCTTAGGTCTATTGCACTCTGACTGACGCAATAGACAACATACTCCATCTGTCGCAATCCAAGTTCTTGAAGAAATCTCTTGAGCCATATCATCTCTTTGCTAGCTTCAGTAGCCGCAATATACTCCGCTTCAGTTGTAGATAGTGCGATACACTTCTGCAACTTCGACCGCCATGATATAACTCCCCCTAAAAAAGTAAACAAATATCCAATAGTGGATTTTCTGTTATCAAGGTCACCTGCCATATCAGAATTTGTATAGCCCTTCAAAATTAGATTTGATCCTCCAAAACATAAGAATTCATGAGAGCTTCCTCTTAGATACCTGAGTATCCACTTTACAGTTTCCCAATGCTCTTTTCCTGGATTTTTGAGAAATCTGCTAACAACATCGACTGCATGAGCAATATCTGGTCGAGTGCATGCCATTGCATATATCAAACTTTCGACAACAAAGGAATAAGGAATCTTGGACATTCTTTCTTTTTCCTCCGTTGTTGTAGGACACATCTTCTTACTTAACTTCAGATGACCAGGAAGGGGTGTGCGAACAAACTTATCACTTTTCATATTGAAGCGCTCCAGTACACGTTCTATGTACTTCTCCTGTGACAAGTAAAGCTTTCTTTCGTTTCTCGAACGAGTAATTCTCATGCCCAAAATCTGCTTAGCATGACCCAAGTCTTTCATTGCAAAAGACTTATTCAACTATTTCTTCAACTCGTCAATCTTGGAAGCATTCCTGCCCACAATCAACATATCATCCACATATAGCAAGAGGATGATAAAATCCTCATCAAAAAATCTTTGTACAAACATACAGTGATCTGAAGAAGTCTTCTTGTAGCCTTGCTCCCCCATAACAGACTCAAACTTCTTGTACCACTATTTGGGAGCTTGCTTCAATCCATATAAACTCTTCTTAAGTTTGCATATAAGATTTGCTTTACCTTTTGCCTTGAAGCCTTCAGGTTGTTCCATATAAATCTCCTTTTCTAAGTTATCGTGAAGAAAAGCAGTCTTCACATCCATTTGCTCAATTTCCAAATCAAGACTGGCAGTCAAACCAAGAACTGTCCGAATAAAGGACATTTTCACGACAGGAGAAAATATTTCGTCAAAGTCAATACTTTTCCTTTGACCAAATCCCTTGACAACCAATCTAGCTTTGTATCTAGGTTTCAAACTATGTTCTTCAGCTTTAACTTTGAACACCCACTTGTTTTTTAAATCTCTCATGCCCTTAGGCAATTTCACCAACTCATAAGTATGGTTCTCATGCAGAGATTTCATCTCATCTTGCATGGCTTCAGTCCATTGATCCTTGTGCTTATCTTCTATGGCCTCCGCATAACATTCAGGTTCTCCCCCATCAATGAGTAATACATACTCATTGGGTAAATAATGGGAGGAAGGAGTACAAGGTCTAGAGGACCTCCTGAGTGGAATATCTAGCTCGTCCACAGCTTCGTGAGTAGGAACATCTACCTCATCAACATTAGCATTGTTATCACCATCACCATCAATATGCTGATCTGGAATATGGTTCTGGGCATCACCATCATCATTGAGCCCACCAACGTCATCCGCATTTCTATGAGGAACTTGATCAAGATTAACTAAACCTTTAGAACTTGGAGATTTTAGCTTCTCCGCTTTGTTAATATCTTCAATGGTTTGATCCTCCACGAAGATAACATCACGGCTTCTCACAACCTTCTTATCAATTGGATCATATAGCCTATAACCAAACTCATCAAGGCCATAACCAATGAAGATGCACTGCCTTGTCTTGGCAGTTATTTTTGACCTCTCATCTTTAGGTACATGTACAAAAGCTTTGCAACCAAACACTTTCAAGTGGTCATAGGAAACATCCTTGCTATACCAAACTCTGTTTGGAATATCACTTTGCAAAGCAACTGCAGGGGATAGATTAATAACATGTGCGGCGGTCAACAAAGCCTCACCCCAAAAGGAATTCGGCAACTTTGCTTCAGAAAGCAAACATTTGACTCTTTCCATCAAGGTCCTGTTCATCCTTTCTGCTAAACCATTAAGCTGAGGAGTCTTAGGAGGAGTTTTCTGGTGTCTGATACCCTGTTGCTTACAGTATTCGTCAAACGGTCCACAATATTCACCACCGTTATCAATAAGAATACACTTCAGCTTCTTTCCAGTTTCTCTTTCAACTGAATCCTGAAACTGCTTAAAGACACCCAACACTTGGTCTTTAGTCTTCAAGATGTAGACCCAAAATTTCCTTGAGCAATCATCAATAAAGGTAGAAAAATAAAGTGCACCACCCAAAGTCCTTGTCTTCATTGGACCACATAAATCTGAATGCACCAACTCAAGCAACTCTGTCTTTTTTGAAGGAGGATGAGACTGTAAAGAAACTCTTTTTTGTTTTTCAGCCAAGCAATGCTCACATTTTTCTAATTTTGCACTTTCAAAATTTGACAACAATTTCTTCTTGGCCAGAACATTTAGTCCTTTCTCGCTAATGTGGATAAGCCTCTTATGCCATAATGTTGAAGAGTTATTGCTCTCAACGACATTCACCATATCAACACAGGTAGAAGCCGTAGTCCAGTATAAACCACGACGTTTTTCCCCACGAGCCACAATCATGGAACCCTTAGTGAGCTTCCACTTTCCAGCATCATTGGTACTGACATATCCCTCATCATCCAAAACACCAACATAGATTAAGTGCAAACGAACATCAGGTGCATGCTTTACATTGTTTAAAACTTGTTTAGTTCCAATACTAGTTTCCAAACAAATCGTTCCAACACCAGCCACCCTAGATACAGCCTCATTACCCATACTCAAAGTTCCAAAGTCACCCTGAGTATAGGATGAGAAAAATTCCTTCCTTGATGTCACATGAGATGCGGCACCACTGTCCACAACCCAGCTTGACTCATCACAAGCAATATTTATCAGATCCGCATCAAGGACGGTAACAAGATCTTCTGTAGTGACGGTGGCAACACGATTGTCATCTTCTTTCTGCTTTCCTTGTCTCTATTCTCCTTTTTCAAAATCCGGCAGAACTTCTTTGTGTGCCCTTTTTTCCCGCAATGATAGCATTCAATATCTTTAAATTTGCTTCTGGATTTGCTTCTATTATGTTCTCTATTTTTAGAACCCCGATTCTTGCTTCTCCCCCTAGAGTCAGTCACCAAGACATCTGATGAGGAGGAACCTTGAGATTTTCT